CATTGATAATGGCATTCTTACAAGAGAAATGTTGACCGATGAGCAAATTATAGACTCCGTAACCTCATCTACAGCTTTAAGCGATAATGAGAAAGGTGACGATTTAGGTGAAACGTATTCTACTGTAGACACTAATGCTGTTCTAACCATTTCTGAAATGACAAAAATAGTGTCAGAAACTCTGAATTTTCTACAATCACGCCAAGTTCCTAATCATATCTGGGAGTCCTTTTGTGATCTTGAAAACTACATAAATAACATCTATTTTTACAGCAGAAATGTACAAACAAAAATTACAGACTTTATGAAGTAGATTTCAAATTGAATTTTGTTTATCTTTTTGTGTTCTTTTTAGTCATACCTACTAACTTCTACTACTCTATGTAAAAATAACGAAATAAAATACACCACGTTTTTTTGTATTTTTATTCGCTTATAGCGAACTCCGGATATAACAAACCAGTTTTAGTTCATTTTTCAAGTTCGTTATATCCGGACTCAACTGTATATTCAAAAGAATATCTCTTCATATCCAAGAACAATTGTATTTCGCTTTGTAAGTTGTATACTCTTCTTAGAATTGCACCTCTACTAAGCCAACGTACTTCGGTATTAGTAGACACCACGTCGCCCTTATTCAGTTTCTAAATCTTTTAGTAAAATTCTTTAAATTCCTGGTGATTTAGCGCACGCGACTTTATAAAATTGATTAGTTTAATTATTGGTACTGTGGCATTTCGCACATACATTTTCCTGGTGAATTATACAGTGGTTAACAAATTGATCCTGCATCCTGTGACCTTCTTAATGTCTTAAAATGGCCTTCCCGACACTAGGAGTGTGTCCATGATTGTCATTGTCCGTGCTCCATCTGTCGATATACCAATAATATTTTCTAATAAAATAGAAAAAATTTCCAACACAGATTTTAGTCTATCGTACAGATCTTTGCCAGTTGTAGCCCCTTGCAGTGGAATCAATGAACACAATTCTTCGGTAATATTAAATGTAGTGCCACTACCATGTCAAAATATAGCCAGTTGTGCCGTATCGCTAATATCGCAACTCTCATCAAGTGCCAAAGAACAGTATCGAATTTTCCAACAAAACTAGCCTTTACTGCCGTATTTGAAAAAATAGCTTGATTTAAAAAAAGTTTGTTGTTTTCCCAAGTTTTCTCTCTTTGATTAAACTTGTCTATCCAGACTTGTCCTGTAAAGTTTTTATATTGTCGTTCATGGTTTGTATCGTAATGCTTTATGTTATAATATATAATATCAGTGTCGAGCCAGTCTCTGAGCATATTTAAGCATACGAGGGTGGTTTGAAAAGTCCGTGCAAAGTCAGAGAGAGGACACTACTGGTGCGCATCAAAGTTATTTTCAGTTAGTAGCATCTCTTGGACGAACACACACCAAGTTTCAGCCAGATTGGTTTATTTGTTTGTGTTTGGCGTTCGTTTGAATCGAAGAAGTCGAGAGATTTTCAAAATATGGACGAAAAAGAATTTTGCGTGCTGATTAAACATTAGTTTCGTGACTGTGGATGAAACATGGATACAACGCTATACTCCTGAGGCCAAAGAACAGTCCAAACAGTGGGTTGGCAAGGGGGAATCTGCACCAAAAAAGACGAAGACAGTTCCTTCGGCTCGGAAGGTTATGGCAACTGTTTTTTGGGATTCGCAAGGAGTAATCTTCATTGATTATTTGGAAAAGGGTAAAACGATTACAGGCGCATATTATTCATCGTTATTGGACCATTTGCAAACCTAGCTACAAGAAAAACGTCCACGATTGGCCCACAAAAAAGTCCTTTTCCATCATGATAACGCACCAGCTCCCACATCAGCAGATGTGGCTGCAAAATTGATGGAAGTAGGATTTCAACTCGTTCCACATCCCCCGTATTCTCCAGATTTGGCTACTTCGGACTATTCTTGTTCCCCAATCTGAAGAAATGGCTGGCGGGAAAAAGATTTTCCCCAAACCAGGAGGTGATTGCCGAAACAAATGCCTATTTTACAGACTTGACACAATCACATTCTATTACAATAGGACAAATCCTATTATTCGGAAGCGATCAACAAACTAGAGCATCATTGGACGAAGTGTATTAGTCTAAAATGAGATCATGCTGAAAAATAAAAATGATATATCCTAAAAAATTAAGTAGTTTTAATTTTTGCATGGACTCTTCAAACCACCGTCGTACAGCTTCATCTTTGTCGAAAGTGAGAAAATAATCAATTCTATTATGGATTAAAAATTTGCGTTAAAAACATTTGTAGGAAAACTTAATTTTGAATAAAAAAAACTCTAATTTTACCTTTTGGACAATAATATTGCACTCACGACTTTTTTCATCAAACACGAAAATTGCTAAAATTCCTAGTTTAAAGCTTACCAGTCTGACTGATTGTGTGGTAGAAGCAAACACAAACAAGCACATACATTTGTTTTGCTTGTTTGAACACCACATTGTATGTACTACCATATTTTATTATAATTAATTTAGTAACAATATTAATGGGAGAAAGTCGATGAAATAAATTAAATTTCAGAAATGCTTGGCGGGCCAAATAAACATGTTTAAAGGGCTGCAAGCGGCCCGCGGGCCTCAAGTTCGACATCGACAGCTTTTATATTTAGCTACTACTTTACTTTTACATATTGTTTATTACTCACAACTAACATAAGACTGGAAGTTGGAAACATTTATTGAGTAAAACTGTTTTTTCTTGGCATTTTCAATTTTCCAATTCAAGATCGAAATCGTGATTGTTGCCTCACTCACTTCACTGAAAATTGGATAAAATGTGCTGTAAAAATGTTGAAAAGCCTTCAACGTACATACGAAAGTCGCAACTTTTCAGAAACGACATAAATCTTCGTTTTCAGACTTCGAGTATCTGGTGAGCCAACCAGTGTCCATGTCGCTACCTATAGGATATGATACTTCGCTGCTATGTGAAATGAATATAGTGCCCGATAAGTTTGAATGGAAATTCTACCCAACTGATGAGCCGTATAATAGGGCAGCTAATATAATTTTGAGCAACGCTAGTTACAGGCTAATTCACGAATTCAGACCGAACAAGAAAAAATCTGAATTACTTGTACCGGTGAGTATAGCTATGCAAATTCCAAAGACACCAGTGGAAAGAAAAACCACGATTTTACTTGAATCAACACTTGCACCCCTTGAAGCTAATTCTTCCCGTTCTTGCAGGTGAAAGATGAACTAGTAGCGGGTGATTATCAGTGTCTGGCTTATTACGGGGCATTTGTGGTCGCTTCAGTACCATGGCGAATCACCCTTGCAAGACTGGGTCAATCGCATCCGCAGAAATCAGTTTCCGTTACGGTTCAAGCAGGAAACACTGTGAGTTGGAGATGTGACGTTCCCGAATCGAATCCTCTGGCTTATGTAGACTATACTAAAGACGACAAATATATCAGCCCGCCCGATGTGGGCAATCGAGTTAAAAGCATGATACTTCCCCATGTGAATGTAAGCGAGTCCGGGGTCTACAAGTGAGTGAAAATTTGCTGATTTTGGTTCAAACGCTAAATTTTTGCGGCCCTTTTTAATCCATTCCAGGTGTTCGACGACAAACACATTTGAAAAACGGAATTTGGACTCAACTTTAAAATTAGAAGTCACTCATCATGCACACGAAAAGGCCCCATTTTTCATTAGTCAACCTGTTAGCGAGCATACAGCAACAAAAGGTGACCTATAAATCGATAATTAGGCACTGATTTAATTTGCTGTTGGTTTTCAGGATCGACATTATTTCTGGAATGTTCCGCAGTGGGTAAGCCCATACCTAAAGTGGTGTGGTACAAGAAGTCCCAATCTCAGTTACCGGCACATCGTACCGAAGTTATCGCCGGTGGGTTGTTGATAAAAAATATATCTTCCAGAGATGATGGCGTTTACGTGTGTAATCACACAAATTCCCATGGGAGTATTTTCCATGAAATCATGGTGAAATATCGGGAAGAACCGAGTCTAGACTGCAGCATTAATGCCACTGATATTAATCAGGGGGAGAATAGGGATCTTGAATGTGAAGTTAGAGGTAACTTTAATTTTTGTTTTTAAGTATGGCAGTAATTTAACTTAGTTCGGTTTTTAATTAGGTACTCCCGAGCCGGAAATTTCCTGGTTCCTAAACGGGTTTTCCGTGTTGAATGACTCGAGAATAGAAGCAATCGGCAACAAAATCTACTTTAGACCCATAGAGAAGCGTCACGCTGGCAATTTGCAGATTTTTGCAAGAAATATTGTGCAAACCGTGTATAGCAGTATAAGAATTCGAGTAATTCCTTTGCCGACTAGCATCGATGAAATTCCCACGCCTCTACATAATCGTCCGAGGCACAAACCAAAGTAAGCCTGCAGTTTTACTCCAAAGCAGACTAGTTAAGATATTTTTTAGGAAATCGCGCGTTACAAAACGCCCATCCAGACAGCGGGCACCTAAAATGATCCCACCTAGTAAGCCTGTAGTGAGTCGCGTGAAAGACGATACTGTGGTGGTTCGATGGAACATTAGTAACAATAATGGCCTGTCGATTCTGTTTTTCAAAGTCCAATACAAAGAAATTCCCTTTGCTAATCAAACGTATACTTCGAACAAAGGTACACATCTGCAAGATTTGTAGCTGGATTAACCAGTCTGAATGCCTAATTCTTTTTAGGCTGGAATACTGCAAACACTGACATAGCGCCGAATATCAACGCTTATGAAATCAGCGATCTGAAACCCGACCACTTTTACAAATTTCGGGTCGCAGTCGTTTACTCCAATAACGATTCCATCATGAGCCAGATGTCGAAGAAGTTCCATTTGCGCAGCATTGACTTTGATAAGAAGAATCCTCTTCCCGTTTGTCTTATCACACATGTGGAAACAATCAGCCATAGTTCTATCAAAGTCTACTGGAACGTAAGTTTTACATGGATAAAAAGTTAACATCATCACCATCAGCCCCGTTCTAGTATTCGTGTCCATCTAGCATATTGCATCTTTGCCACATTAAAAAAAAACTGGTTCTTTTAATAACGTCTGTTACTTTTGACCTGTTCCTGATTTGTTGGGGGTTCGATCTCTTAAAGTGGAAGATCTCAAGCATTCTTCGTTCCATGGCTCGTAGGGCTACTCTTAATTTGTGGGTGATTCTGTAAGCAAATGAGCTGTAAATGCTCCAAAATGTCTCAAATCTGCTAAATATTACGCTTATGAAGTTCTGAAGTCATCTAGCGTTTTTCGTTGGCCAGAAAGCACATATTTTCATTTCGTGAGCGCAATCTATTAAAAACATGGTTATTTCTGAAACGAAAGGAAATGACGAGTTGTAAATGCTCCAAATCTGACCAAACGTCGTCTTAAGCGATTACAAGTGACGTCGTCTCAAAGAGGCCAGTTTATTTTCCATTACGAAGGCCTTAGTATGGATTATTTGCCTGCTCTTAATTTGGCTAATCGACTAATTTTTCGCCTTTTATGGCAGAATCGGATTCAAAGTTTTGGCTTGGAGAAAATAAGGAAAAGTACATGTAAAGTGATTCAAAGCCGGGTGATAAAGTTGGTTTCCTGTCGGGAAAGTAGTCGATTTTGGTAACTAAGGGCGTACTTCTTATTCTACTTAAAAGTTTGTAATTTTCGTTTTTTGTTTTTGCTCAAATGAATACCACAATACTTGTTAATAAGTGTATTGGATAGACTAAGAATAATATTTGCAATATTTTCAATTGAATGATTACTACATCCCTGAAAATGAGTAAGACAACCTTGGTCAATAAGATGGTTTACAGGTATGGTGCAAACGAGATATTTTATTAAAATCTTCTAAAAAAATTTCTTCAAAATCCTGAATAACATTTTTTTTAAATTTTGTAACTGAAATCTTCCATGTTTATTACTTCTTGATGTGGATACAAAATTTCACTAGAAAGGCACAAAAAAGAAGTAATCTTCTTGATGCCAGCGTTGCCGTAAGTTTTTATCGATTGCATTGTTCAAGACTAATATTTTTCTTTTTTCTAAAAAACGAATTTCTTTAATCAATAAATCCTGTTTACCCAGATCAGGATTGGCCCTGTTATATGTATGAGTGTTTTAATGAAAACTGCGGATAATCAATTATAAAACTTTTACCTATTTGGAATGGAAGTACCTTCCCACTTCTGTGCAAAAGACCAGAAGTTATAACGAAACTATCGCTCTTCAACAATCAACCTGATTTGGTCGACAGCTCAATGTATTCTTTACGGGCGAAAAACGGGCCTACATTGTCTGGCGTTATCAGTATTTCAGATTTCCGCACTGAGGCCTTGTTAACTCTCTCCTGACTTTCTTCATACAGATTCTTGTAAACGTTTTCAACAAGAGAATTTTATCTTTGTTGTTTCCGTATTCTTCTGCTGCTTAAGTTTTTCGATGGCACTTTTTCCTGTTGCACACTTTCATACCTTTGTTCTCGTCAATGGTCTTCTATGTCCAAATGTGCTGTATTTTCTTACAACTTGTCTCACTACGTTCGCTATGTCTTTGCTTTAGTTTGTAACTGTTTGCTGGGTTTTCTTTATTGCTTATTTCTCGCCTTTGGTTCATCATTTGTCTTGTTCTATCACTCAGCTTCTCGTTTCCAATAATATGTTTTAACCAGTGTTTCTCGCTAGCAACTTTTACAGATTTCACAATATTTTCGTTTAGTTCCTCATCTAGACTTTCGCTGTTCTGTAGATTTTAGTCATGGCTCACTGGTACTCAACCTTGTTGTCAATTAGTAGTTTTTCTCCCTTTCTGGTCTTGGCTACCAGGTTTCTTCGCTCCTGTTTTAAACGTTGGATTATCTTTGCCCTGACCATTTTATGATCGCTACCTATATTTGCCTTATTCAGTACATTAACGTCTGTACTGTCTGTTATAGTAAAATCAATTTAATTTTCGACGTTTCCACCCGGAAATATTCAGGTCCGTGTTCGATGTTTAGGTTTTTTGAAACATGTACCGTCCCGTGAAAGGGCTGATTCTGAAAGAGAAAGTCCAAAAGCATGTCGCCGGGGTAGTTTCTTTACCCTATTTCAAATTGTAGGAGAAAGAGAGAGAGCAACCCACTGATGAATGGATTTATATTTTTTAGTGTCCACCTTTCAATGTAACAATCGACGGCTTTTACATACATTACCTAATTGCTACCAGGGCTGGGGATGACTACGTGGTAGTTACAGTGGAAGGCTCCGATGTAAGAAGTTACGTTATCAACTACTTACATCCCGAAACCAGTTACGATGTTAAATTGCAAAGTTTCAATCAGAAATTGGCCAGCGAATTGAGCCCTATGATGAAAGGCCGTACCGGAGGTGTGTAAATGGCACAAACTGAACCTATTTTTTGCCAGTAATCGTGGATTTTTACGCAAATGTTTGAGATATTTATATTTTTTTCTTTCATAGTGAGCCCCGTCAACCCACCCACCACCACAACCCCAACTCCCATAATTACAAAAGGAGCTAATATTTACGTTATAATTGCGGGAGGAGTGGTCGGATTTGCCCTTGTAGTTACAGGGGTTATTTTGCTTTTTGTGTGCAGAAAATGGCAGCGCAATAAACTACCAGGTAGAGTAATTAATGAAAAAAATAACACCTAAAGTCCTAAAGTAATTTGTTCTTTAACTGAAGCGTAAAGATAATTAACTATGTGTCCCAACTTAATTACAAACATCAAAAAGCCCTCTAGCTCTTTTTGTTAAAAAAAAACTCCTCTCTGACAAGTCTCATCTCTAGATACTCAAGACAAATCGAATTCCATTCCAAATCACATCCAAGCTGACGCCAGTGATTATATGGTTGAGTCAAAAACCCTATCGAAAGCTAATGGATGCACACTGCCTGGAAATAAAATCACAATAACATCCAACCCACTGGCAGATACAGAAAAGGTATGTTTTTTATGTTTCCTTGGATTGTATTGGAAATATTTTTTTTTTATTGTGGTTCCGTTCTTTGCATGCCGATTACTCTAAGTATTCGCCAGGTGCAACTTGTTATCGAAACATCAGTTGAAGATAGAGAATATAAATTAACTTGTGCGATCAGGATTCATCATTTAGATGAAATTTTAATAATATTTACCTTTGAGTTAAAAAATGTTATCTTCCATTGGATACTCTTCTACCGATTTCAACTACTTACATAAAATCAATTAAATTTATCTACCTAGTAATAGAAGCTTGAACGATCTTTTATAGCATGCCATCTAGCTGGTCCTTAAGCTTTCAACTATTATTCACGCTCTTCAAAACCCAGGTAAACATAATGCTAGAGCTAGAGCTGTTACCGTTCCTGTTTGCTTTCCAGCGAAAATTCACGATTTTTTCAGTGTTACAAGCTTATTCGCTTTTTTACGCTAACAACTAATAATTGCCGTTACAATTTGCCCTTAGCATTTAGTCTCCCAATAATAGGTTTCTCAACCACCTTCAAACAATCAATCGTTATTTAAGTGCAATAATCAATTGCTGTTATACAAACACTGTGTGGTTGAGAAACTTTTCCCGCATTTTCAAGCAATACTAAAAACTAAAACTAGGTTAATTCGTCTCTATTCCAGAGATTACTAGCTCGGATTTTTTCCAGAATCCGACTGTGATTGAAATGCGAAATTTAGCCAATAACAACGTGCGGCAGCAGCCTGATTCGCCCAGCGACACTACGCTAACTAATACGTCGAAAGATAAGCATAAACGTCGAAACAATATCAGAGAAAGTAGAGAAGATTGTTCTACGGACAGCAATTATGTATAATACTGGAGTTTCCTTTCGAAATTTTAATCAGAGCCGTGTAACCAAAACACGTATTTTGCTCATGCTCTTTCTTCCTACAGCATCATTTGTGTAGAGAGAGCACTCACATAAAATGCAGATAGTTTACTTCCTAATTATTCGAAACTCTCTGAACTATAATCTCGAATAGGTCTAAACTGCGTTGTAAATTGTCCTCTTCTGTGATACGAGAAATGTCTGGTAGATAAGAGACAGAGCCTTAATAATAGAGTACTTAGATTTTTGTAGCAAAGACAACATAATCCTTACCAGCTGATATTTCGACGAGTGTTTTACGATTTTGCCATGTATTGAAGCTGCTGTTATGTGCGCTGGGTTTTCTCATAACTGGCTTGATCTACAGAGTGTGCAAACAAGACAAACGTCCATTGGAGTTTGGGAAAATATTTGAATATTTCTCCAGAAACCCAGTGACTTTCAGAGAGTCAAAGCAGGAAAAAGCATATTTTGTAAATACCGTGTACAGAAAATGGTTAGTGTATTTATATTTAATGTATCGTAATTTATCGGATATAATAATGGTGGCAATGACTGTTTCAAGCATCCCAGAACCGGTTTCGAGCCTATTAGATCTCCTGAAAATAACTTTATTTCGCCCATGTATATCGGTATAACTAGCAGCAAGGCTACGTGGGGTTTGGGAATAGTTTGAATGTACCGTTGTCTTTTTTTATTGTATAAGTTATTTATTTTATGAACATGGTTTGTCCATGACTATGATAATTTGTGCCAATAAAACGTTGCGCAAAGTTCCTAAAATATATGTTTATTCAGCTCGAAATAAAACACGTAGGATAGTGTCAGCAAGCAAAAAAGTCCATTTTTTCAATAGATTTATGGTGATGAAACCAGAAAATTTTATCTTTAGATTTTAGACAGTAACAATTAATCTCGAACTTCTACGAAACAAATTTTCTCGAAAACACTTTATATACTTTGAAGCAGCTTTGTATATGGGTGAAAATAATACTAAAACTGTGATATTAAAAAATTAGACGACGATATTTTGTAATACTTGAAAAAATGTGAGTGTAAAACAGTGTCTGACTTGCCATTGTTCATTTTTGCACATAACATTAAATACATCGAAACGTCGCTAATTATCTAATGACTAAATATTTTCGACAATATGTTGAATTCTCATATTCTCTAAATGTAGAAAAACATGTTCAGGGTAAACCTTTGTAATAAGTACAGTTGCCCGACGGTTTTTTACTAAGGCTCAAATTTACATGAGTTACGAGACTTGAAAATTTGCTATCAGCAATCTCACTTTTAGGGGTAAGTGTTAGACTGAACGATTGTTTTAATATGATGCAAATACTAATTTTTAGTGGACAGAAAACAGAACATTTTTTTTGTATTCAATATGCTTGGGATTTTTAAGGATTTTTATACCTAATAAAAATTTCATGTTGAATTGTTGTATTTTTAGCCTTTGTTATTCCCAAAACTCGTAGTTAGTATGATCTGATTGATTTACTTGTATTTGATATGCATCGTGATTCCATCATTAAAAATACAAACAAACTGAATTTTACTTCAGTTAAACATGCAAACTCTCCCAAACAGCAGCCGATGGGAATAATGAGACCATACAAAAAAACCAGAACTTATGAAAAATAATACGTACAATTTATTTACATTCATATCTTATATGGGCCAAGTGCTCCCTCGAACAACTGGGGTGCAGTCCAGATAACATTCCTCCAAATTTCATAAGTCGATAAAATAACATTTCTAGTCAACCAACTGAGACCTGTTTTTTCTTGCATCATATAAGAATCAAATATCATAACTCCGATAGTTAAACTAAAAACCACCATTAGATTAACGTGAAAACAAACACAACTACCTATTCAACTATAGCCCAAGTTATTTCATCAACTTAACTTAGATTGGAATGAACATTGTGAGTCTACTGTTTCTTAAAACTCTTTAGAATCGGATAAATATTGTCAAAGGCTTCATAAATCTCTTGCCTTACCTTGGCTCCAGTAAGTACAACTTTTCCCGATACAAAAATTAGTAATACTATTCTAGGTTTGACCATACGGTATATTAATCCAGGGAACAACTCCGGTTCGTACGAGCTGAAAGAACTGTGCGTCAAAACTAGTCCTTCCAGACGAATCGGAAATTTTACGTCGCAACTGCCGACCATATTCTGAAAATTGTTGAATTAAAAAAAAAAAACAACAATTACATACAGTGATTCGAAATTACGTTGACAAAAATAAATCAAAATGTTCATATAAACTAAGTTTGTTTCTTCTTTAACGAAGAACTTTGATTTTTTTCTCGATAGCTCATAGCCCCTTTATAGTCCATTCGGATTAGAGTTTTTCCAGACAATAAACAGATGAAGGTAAAAGATTATTGGAAGTTGTTCGGAAGGATGTCAGAATATTGGGACAATAGTTTGCGGGCTCTGGAACATTGTTTAAATAGTCAATGAAACCCGTTTTTTGCGCATAACTTTTGTACCGCTGATGCTATTGAAAAAGTTTAATACTTTTTTATGTATTAAAAATACCTACAAAATGAGACAAACTAAATTTAAATCCGTTCATTTGTTTACTACAAAAACAAAAAACCCTACGTTTTTATAAATTTTCAGTAACCAATTTAGTTTTGCTTCTAAAAAATCGTAATTAGCTTTAAAAATTCGTAACGTTTTGTTCATTTCTATTTTTTATGTACAAGTGCAGATTCTAGATAATTTCTTTTAAAACTTTCTTTGATTCTTTAAACAATGTTCCACAGCCGGAAATCGTCTGCAAACTATTGTCCCAATATTCTGACATCCTTCTGGACAACTTCCAATAATCTTTTACCTTCATCCATGTAGAGCTCGAAATTGGCTTTTTAAATCCATTATTTAGTAACTAAATATACACTTCTCTATTCTCTATATTTGGAAAAGTTCTTGTCATTTAAATTATTTCAAATTTTATTCGAATAATAAAGCGAAGCGGGGTGTGAAAAGAAACTGAAAAAACACACGGCAAACTAGTAATCGTAAAGGATGTGTGTTTCATTTTTGGAGGTAAAAAATTTAGGGACATTTTTTCAATCTTACTTTGGAACCGGCACATACCTGTATTTTAAAATCTAAGAACTTGGCTGGGAATCCCAATTTCTGAATAATCCTGGCATATTTTCGGGCGGCCAGTCTGGAGTCCTCTTCGCTTTTAGCCCCCGTACAGACCATTTTTCCAGAACTGAATATTAACGCTGTAGTTCGCGGCTCTCTTATCCTCATAATCACAGCAGCAAACCGTTTCGGATTGTATTCGGCATTTCGGGCGTGTAGCGCAATTTTTTTTAGGTCCAACTTGCAGCTCAGATTTACCGTGGATACTATGTTCCTATAAGCCGAGTTACTTTACAACATTGTCGACTTATAATCCAATAGCCCACTTACTGTAACTGTGGCACAATTCCGGGATCAGCAGAATGAGGGGTCATAGGAGTCATGGGAGATGGTGTGGATGGACCGCCTACACTCATACTGGGAGTACTGCCGCTCATCCCGGTTCCTCCCAGGTTTACCATGGAGGACATCATACTATGTTGCTGTAAAAATCACAGTTTAGCAACCCAACTTCCGGTTAATGAGTGTTTCGAACAGGATTTGCTGTACTTTTATTCAGGGGCGGGTAACTAACAAGTGTTATTTGGTGAAGCTAAACAATGAGTACGTACTGGTGTTTGTGGAGTCATTCCACTGTGGCCAGTGCTCATGGGCATGGAAAATCCGCTAACATATTTTGTATGCGGCATCGACATGGCGCTTCCCATTCCAAGCCCCAAATTGGGAGTTAGTCCCCCCATGGGAGCCAATGGAGGAACTTGGCTAGAGAGAGGCTGTTGCTGCTGCTGTTGTTGTTGCAAGGCATTTGGAAGGATTTGTTGATCCTCTTCTGGCTGATGCAAAGGCGTGCCTATTAGAAATTTACATACCTCGTTTAAAAAAGGAGTTGAAATTTTAATGTTCAGTTCAATATTTCAACGTGAATTTATAGCTAACAGTCAAAAGCTGTATTTGCAGTAATTGCATTGTGTATTATTTACTTTTTCAATCCGAAATAAAAATCTATTCCACATAAAAAAACATGTGTTCTCCACTATTCATGCTGCCCCAAGTCCATCCCACTATGATATATCGAAATATGTATCTATTTATTATCTTAAACGTAATAAGTAGCTTTAGGCAAAAAATTCATATTTTTTGTGGAAATTTACGTGCCAGCACATTCTGAATAAACCAATTTTAATGAGCTTTGGGGGTCCAAGGCGGTAGGACGCCAATAACGAAATTAAGTCTACTTACCAATGCTGGGTATGCTAAACCCAGGACTGGGAAGCATTTGATCCATGATGTTAATGTTTTAGAAACACTGGTAAGGTTAATAATTAATTAACAGTCTCGCAGATCAGTCCGAAATTAATAAAATACAAACACAACTAACTTGTTTATGTTCAGATTGAGATAACCCACATTGAGATGTCACCGATTGACAGTTGTCTATTCGTCTCTTTTGCGTATTCCCAGCGACGATGCCGAATGGTTTAAAATTATCTTGTAACTATTCAAAATTTTAAATTTATGTTGCATACAAATTGCGAAATTAAGGCGACACTGTTTTTACAAAATTAAAGCAAGTTTGATGAAAAATCAAAAGTAAAAAATTTTGTATTTTTATACTTTTAAAAAGTGTTTTAAAGAAATATTTTTGGAAAATTTTTGAAGATTTAAATTCTTCAGTTTTTCATAAACCTTGCAGTAATTTTGTCGACAACATTGCCAAACGAAATCTGGCGAATGGTAATTTTTGCAAAAAACTGCAAGTCCTAAACATATTTAAAATTTAAGAATTTTTTCACTGCGCTAATTTTTAATACAGCAACTCCTAAAGGAAAATTGTCACGCAATTGTATAATTTTTTTTTTCAAAAGCTTTTTTTCGCAAAACTTAAATAATATCATGAAACGGTTGATTAAAGGTAATTAAAAATACGAATTCATACATTTTTAGTTTCATTGATTGTTCGATCATTCTCTTTACAGGATTGCTTTAAAAAAATTGAGGAAATCGCATGGTATTTTTTTAAGAAAAAATAAAAAATATGATACATATCCCTACTTTTCTTAAAAATTGCAAATAATTTACAGGATCACCGAGAAAATAGTAATTTAAAATTATTAATAAAAGCTAATGCTTCATTGTGGAATGAAAAAAGAAGTAATGTAATGGATGGTTTTGTTACGGTGTGAAATTTTGTATTTATTCACAAATGTTTCGAATTCACAAATGTCCGAATTTTTCAATTTTTTATTTACTTTTCGCTAGTTTTGATTTATGAATCATCAAAGAAAATGTAATCTGACGGTGTATTAATTTTTGACAATCCGCAAAAAAATATTTCGAAGTTAAAAAATGCAGATTTTATCAGCGTAAAAAAATTAAAAAAAAAAAATTGTGTACCCCCAGCGCTTTCTACTTTTTTTGACGCATTTTTGGTTGGAAAAAGACAATTTTTAGCAAGTGAGACGCAAAACTAATCTCTGCTTTTTCTTCAAATAATTCTAAAGCACACTGTATATTGCGAAATTTAGCCAGTATTAGATTATTAGATAAAATAAAACAAATTTTTAATTTACGGTAAAAAAAATAATTCGGTGATTCCATGTTGAATTAAAACTAAGTGCAACACCCTGTACCTATACGACTTCTAATGGTTTAGTGGTTTTCGCAAAAAAGTAAATATAAATTAAAACAACGTGTATTCATTGATTATCAGGTAATGACGGAGGATCGAAGAAGGTTGAGACCGAAACTTGCAATTGGCAGATTTCGGTAGCTTTTGTTTTTTGCAACTGAAAAAGATTGCTTTGGAATTCCAGTAGGCATGGGATCGGGCGCGAAAAATTCAAAAATCCGTCACGACGGATTGGCTTCAAACAAATCGGTGATATCATGTGTTTGTGGCAGAAAATGGTGTGGTCTTAATTTCAGTGTTTCGTTCGAACATTTTCCCAAATTTCGTGCTGAAAGGTATGAAGATTTTTTATAATTTTTAGCTAGTTCTCATCAGTTCAATGTCCACTATCACATTGGCGAATTTCATCAGTTTTGGTCAATTTCTTTGACCCAAAAACAATCAAAATAAGTGCCTTCATTTTAACGTTGTGTACCTTCCTATATTGTTTAATGGCCGCATTTTTGACCTATATTATTTAAGCAGAATGCGGTTATTAGTTGCTTGATGATGAATTGCACGTCAGTGCATGCCCGTTACGTTCAATACTCATTCAGAATGGGGAAATGCCATGGAGTTTTCCAACGCCATGAGTGGGCAAAGTCGACTCATTTAACTGAAAATATGGTTATGTGCAATAACGCGTGGCATCCCTTTTTTCAAAACACTCTACTTGCTTTCATTATGCATTGTTTTCCCTATTTTGTTCAGTGATTTATTGGTTAAATGCCCTTTTCATTGATATCCGTTGCCCAGCTAAATCAGCCCAGTACAATAACTAATAGCAACGGATAAACTGACGTTCTCAAAATAGCTCATTAAAATAGATTCTGGAGATTCCGGCAAGCTGAAAACGCGACAAACCTACATGCTTATTAACTGGAAAACTTGCCCAGATTTTCGTCTGTTTCGTTACATAACTGTTTTCACTGTTGCTGATGATCAAGTGTGTTGTTTATCTATCAGCAACAAGAGCACATATTGTCAACAAAAGCCAGCATATTTGCATCTTTGAGTCGAACTTGAGTTAATGTTTTGGTCAAATGTAATTCGAGAACAGGATTACCTTGACTTCTAATTAATAAAACATCCAATTAAGTACAAGTACAAGTACAGTTGAGTCCGGATATAACGAACTTGAAAAATGAACTAAAACTGGTTCGTTATATCCGGAATTCGTTATAAGCGAATAATAATACAAAAACACGTGGTGTATTTTATTTCGTTATTTTTACATAGAGTAGTAGAAGTTAGCAGGTATGACTAAAAAGCACACAACAAGATAAACAAAATTCAATTTGAAATCTACTTCATAAAGTCTGTAATTTTTGTTTTGTTTACGGGTCTATAATTTGCTCATCGGTCAACATTTCTCTTGTAAGAATGCCATTATCAATGCTCACATATTCGAAGAAATTAAAATCACTCAATTTGGTTTTAACATGTTATTCGACAACATTGGGACATCTTCGTCTGTGTCATACTCGTAGTCAGAGTCTTTATACTTTTCTAACCATTCGTTAAGTGGAATTTCATCGTCTGGTTCATAATCATTTTCTTTTCTTACAAATCCCCCATGCTTAAAGCAATTTGCAATGGTTTTTCGGCCAACTTTTTGCCAAGCTCTATGAATGAAATTGACTGCATCTAAGAGATTTATAGAAAATGTTTAATTTTTATTGATCGCCTCTAACGTTTTCATAAGAACAATTTTTCACCCGCAGTCTCTCCATCAATTTTTCCGCTACTGATATTATGCCTCTTCTTGAAACGCTCTTCCCAACTTTTAGAACAAGCAAACTCTTTGTTTTTGATTTTACTCCCCATTT